AGCTAGCAGGCATAGAAGACGAGGACAGCAAGTCAATACATAGAAGTTTAAATTTTGCAATGCTACATAATGTTAATTTGAATATTGTTAATTTGAATACTCTAACCCTTTGTTTATCAATTTGTAACAGGATGGCCCCTCCCATGTAGCACCAGTTGTATCCCCTTCTTGAGGTGGTGGACGACGACCCGCACCGAGCACACTTCTTGACTGATACTGACGCAGAGGTGCCCTTGCCTCCTTTGAAGGCCCCACACCGACGTTGGCTACACTTAGTTGATTATGTCGAACGAATATTGTCGTTCGAAACTTGCAGGCTCATGAACCAATTAAAATGTTGTGTCGCAACTTGTCAACTTGCGCACGGACTCCAATTATTTATTTCATATTTGTTTCAATGCGTTGCGGCAGCACTTGTAGTTGTTTACAGCTCCAACAGCAGCTCCCGTTCAATTAGAATTGAGACTGGTCGGCTTATGTCTGCGTCTAGGTTCTGCCGCGCCGTGGGCTATGGCTCGGCAGAACCTGGGCTTAGGGTTGCGTGCCAAATGAGAACATCGATCTGCCAAATGTACCGCGCCATGGGCCTAGTTATTTTACATTGATATGATGCTAATAACATAAATTACACGCTACTATTTCAAAATACATGGAAAATAATTTCACTCGATTTTGTTCGTTTTAGAAATTCTCAACGCATTCGCTATTATTAAGAAAAACTTGGATGCATCGGAGAGCGACAAATGGATGGCTCGAAGAGTGACAAACGGATGGGATCACTTAAGATCAACCATGGGTAATCCAAGTACATGATACATGGGTACAATACATCAAGAGTTCAAAAGAAAAATAAGATAACACAATGAAAGTTCTAGTACATAGCTATATTGATCATTAATAAAGCATGGAACTAACAGACGGCACAATAAAAAATCCTCAGTCAGAAACATACTGAGTAATCAACTCGTCGTCCGAGTACCAATCCTCTACCACAACCCTGTTGCTGTGGCTAATGTCACTTGCATTGCTCTGATCTGTCTTTTGCCTGTAGTAAGCGGCCTCCACTTTATCTACGGCCTGAGACAAGAACACATTCTCTTCCTCCTCGTTCATGTGGCTAGGCTCACCTGCATTGCTCTGACCTGCGTGTCGTCTGTAGTAAGCGGCCTCCACTTCATATGCGGCCTCTGCGGCCTGAGTGAAGAACGCGTCGTCATCCTCCTCCGCCCACAAGCCGCCTCTGCTAGAGCGATGAGCTCGCTCAGTCTGCCAGTGTCGTCCTCAGCCTCCTCCATCTGCAAGCCCGCCTCAGCAAGAGCGATGAGCTCGCTGAGTCTACCAGTGTTGTCCTCAGCCTTCTCCACCTACAAGCCCGCCTCTGCTAGAGCGATGAGCTCGCTCAGTCTGGCAGTGTCGTCCTCATCCTCGTCCCCCACATCAGACAACACAATTGGTGATTGAATGGTGTGACCAGCTCACGTTCTGTGCTCATCTAACTTCTTTTTCTCATACCTTGCACGAGCCACCTCTCCGTCATGGTCCTCGCTGCATCCAATCCCTTTATGTATAAAATGCAATTAGTTAGCAACGCGATTATATTACATTTAAAATCAAGTAATGAAAAAATGGCTTTGAAGCACTCACTGGCACATAATGCAACAACTTGCTCGTTCAAGACCTGCATCTGTACTTTTGTCTCCTCCCTTGCCTCCTTGCTTGCTCTCTCCTCCTCTAACTCCCTCCGTCTCTTCAATCCATATTTGTCAAGCCCAACATCGATCGGGTTACGAATACCGCGCTGTCTAGCAAACTCATGCATCTTGTCTTTGTGATGTTTAACAAATAGGTTGACGTAGTCAGGTCCATATCCCCTCTTCCATGCAATAACTTGCCTCCCTTTCAGTTTATCCAAGAACTTAGCTTGACCATCATAACATTCCTACCTGATTTCCTAGTGCTCTGTTCAAACGAAAAATTATATCATATATGTCTTAACAAAAGAAACAAAATACAATTTCATGTTTACCACAAAAATAACCAACCTCATCATAGTTAACCATATGGCCGCAATAATGGCATATTCTAAGCTCGAAGGGACTAGGCCATAGTTGGATTTAACACCACATTCGCACATGAGAGGAGGTGCTTTGTAAATTACCCTTTCTTTCTTCTTTTCCTTAACCTTTGGTGGTTCTTTCAGCCATTGGTTCTTAGGACCATACAACCACTCATTGAAACAACACTTCGCCATTGAAAACACCTAAATAAGGTGACATTAGTATATGAACACATATAGCTCAATATTTCAACACATACACTTTGCACTTACTTCATGCTTGTTTGGACACACAAACTCCAACGTATTCTCAGGGTTTATCATAGCTCGATCTCCGCAATCGCACCGAGGAGGTTCCTCGAGTCGTCTAACTGCGGCTAAGTGCTTCTTAGCCATTATTGGAGGGGGGTTAGGGGGAGGTGGAACCCACCACTCAAAGTGCTCTTGTGGATGTCGCCTCTCCACCAATCGTCGAAAAGGAGGTACCTAGGGTCAAACTTATCTGCACCGTCGATCCACCGAAAGAAAAAGCACCTTTTATGGGCCTACACAACAAAATTCCAATAAAATATTAGTAACCTAGTAATACAAATGAAGAAAAAACATACGGAAACAATTACTTACATTAAAACGACTGTATGTGTAGAAGCAACGAGCCGATGTGTCCGGATATCTCGATTGAAACATGTCGGCCGGACGACCATAGTCACAGTTAGGAACACGGAGGTCAGGAGAGATGGGTGCATCTTTGCTAGACTCGTCGGGGTACAATTCTCTAGGACAACCCCGTTTTCGCCACAACTGCTCCCGAAACATGTCTTCTATTTAATAAAACGGTTCAAATTAAACATCAATCAAAACAACGTAAATTAATGTAAAATATAATCATTTGCATTGCAACTCAAATAATATAACCAACACTTATAGCAACAAAAATATACATGGTAAATATACTTCTAACTAAATAATTAATATTAACATCGACAAAATCAAACTAATATCTTCCTCCAAACCATAACATATAGTTCCCAAACATAATTTTCCTCCTAACCTTAACTCTCATTCATAATATTTCAATCCACCATTCAAACAAAAAAAAGTGTGTCATTACCTTGAACAAGACCGAGGAGAGAGGGAGGCGGCAATAGAGGGCCGGGCGCCGACAGCACTTGGGAGTGGCGGGCGGGCAGGCGCAACGGACAGGTGGCCAGGCAGGCGAAGGCGCGGCAGGCAGGCGGGACTAGGGCGCGGCCCTTTTAGCCGGCTCTGCCGCGCCACCGATCAGGGCGCGTCACTGCCGCGTCAAGATCGGTGGCGCGGCAGACCCTGCACGTCACCGGTCGACGCCCCGGTCGTCGCCACGTCACCCCTCTCGCCGCGCCACCATGCATGGCGCGGCACAGTCGTTTTGCCGCGCCAGGGAAATAGGCGCAACCAAAAGTGTTAGTTTGGGGGGGGAAATAAAACAGTGTTAAATTTAAAATTAGTTTAAAAAATGTTAAAATATATAAAAAAAAATCACGGACGACACAGACTTGCCATGCGAAAACCAAACGTGCTCACTGCTCAGGCTCGGTCTTCTGATGGGATATGATTCGGGACCAGCCCATCTCGCAAACCTAGTACTAGGTTCACGAACAATGCGGATGCGGCCTCCGAATCTTGCACAATCGCTTGCGTTGAAGCGCTATAGAACCGTAACATCAGCTGAACTAAAGACATTGCTGGAAAAACAAAGCTTTTTTTAGATGCTGGAGGACACTAAACCTGATCACATTGCATCAGCACAATCGCTTATTCAGCTAGAGCATTCGACACTAAGGCCCTGTTTAGTTTCAAAAAATTTTCATCCCAAAGTGTCACATTGAATCTTGCGGCACATGGAGTACTAAATGTAGACAAAAAAACAAAATTAATTACACAGTTGGGTGAGAAATCGCGAAACAAAACTTTCGAACCTAATTAGTCTATAATTAGATACTAATTGACAAATACAAACGAAAGTGCTACAGTAGCTAAAACAAAAAAAATTCGCCATCTAAACACGCCCTAAAGCTCTCTTGTCACGAGACCAAAACTATAAATGCAGGGGCAATCATGCCATGGAGTTCGATTACTGTACAATTTACACTTCTTGTAGTGTACAACTATGCCTCAAAATGGGATAGTATATATGAACTACTAGCCCCCAGCCATGTACGTACAGAGTGGTTAGGTACCGTGCCCCGGTGCACTTTTGCCAAGAAAAACTGTCAGCGCTGCCCTGACGGCTGACCAAGACAAGGCACAAGGCACAGCTGATGTGGTAGCTGAGGCTTAATCATCCCGGCCCAAGCGTGTGGCAAGGCCCAACCCGAAGACATCAGGCCCAGTGTGGACAGTTTAGCTAAGTGATATATATACATGCTGTATTGAGAGATGAGGCATCATCGAATTTGTAAACACTTCTCTGAACTTTAAACGAAGAACTCGTCCTTCCTCCTGTTCTTCTTCCCCAAGCTTTCCCCCTCTTCCCTCTGATCCAATTGCTAACAAAAACAAAACCTTCACGACAAAATTTCTATCGTAGGAGCAAGCTGAAGATGTCTCTGAAGCCATGTGCAGCCAGAGAGAAATCACCGAGCACCCATGAAAGGCGTACCCAGTGCAGAGAGCTCCCGCTCTGTGCGGGGTCTGAAGAAGGGTGTTAGTGGCAAGCCTTACCGTCGCCTGTGCAATGTGAGGAGACCACGACTCGAACCCAAGACCTTCCGATCACAGACGGTAAGACTCTATTGCTTGCACCAGGTCCGCCCTTCACCGAGCACCCATGAAGAAATAGCCCAAACAAAACTGTGGTTGACCGTTCGTCCAACAGGTATGCACAAATATAAAGAAACACATCTGCATCCTCAAAACGAATCACAAGGGAAGAAGAGATCGCGCATAATGGCTAGAGGGGTTGTTATGCCCAAAGGCCCAGCCCTAGGCCTGAAGGGGTCCTATCAGATTTCTTACTCTGATGGCAACACTTGGATGGACTTTGGCGATGGGGTTTTGAGCTGGCATGTGAATTGCTGGAACTGTGGTCAGTGCCATTCACATGTGGTGAGACTGGGCTTCTCATCTGAATTGGTCCCATTTCCTCATCAGATTGCAATGTCTGTACAGTGTTCTCAATATCCTCATGGTACCCCTTCAGCAAGAACTCAGAACAGTTCTTGCGCACCCCATGGTCATATGGATTTCTGAATCTGCCACTTGGTCCCCTGAGGTAACTGTACCTCATGGCATTTGCCATCTCATTTGTTGTAATGTTCCTGGATATCTGCAAGGTAGGAAAAGCAAGAAATTACCACATGGTGGGAAAAAGTGGGTTAAAGATACAGGAAGGAAAAGAAAGTTAAGAGTCAATAGTGCCTGATATCAGATGCAGTGGATCTCCACAAACAGACAGAAGCTCAATAAGGTGATAATTTTTAGTACAACTGAACAGATAACCAAGAATACAAAGAATCATGCATGTGCAGAAATAATCTACAAAAATATACATTTATGTATAGACATGAGCTGAGCCGCAGAGGCATCAACAGAATCAGGTTGATGCCAAATATTTGATTAGAATTTAGAGGTATCATTAGCACTTGGCACCAAAGGGATACTGAATCCGTATTTTGCTATAGAAATGGGTAAGAACAACGCTGATGCCATTTAGTTTTTCATCAAAGAATGTTCTAGTAACTAGATCCATACTGTGCTGGTGCCTAATAGATGCATTGTCAGATGTAATCTGCCTGACTAGTGACTACTCAGTTCATTGGAGATGGTAGGAGATGAATCGTTCCTCAGTGGGAACTTTAGCGTATTTCAACAATCAAAAGTAAACAAAAAAAAAGTCAATATCAACTTGGTTCATACCTGTGATGCTTGAATTACTGTTAGAGTTATAACACCAAAGAAAAGGAGGAGGTCCATTATGACAAAAGACACCACCCAGGAATGGTTTATAGCTGTATAGCCAAGCCATCCACCAAATGATGCTGGAGAAGCTGGGTCTCCTATACTTCCTGCAACAAGAAAAATAATAAATGAAGTTTTCTCAATGCAATCAAAGTCTTGGTATAACAGAAAAATGTAAACATACTTATGATGGCCGTTACACCAGTAATAATCATAGCAGAAACTTCTAGGATAAGGAACATAAAGAATTCCCATTTGTTCCTCTGCAATTTGAAACCATCGTAGCTTAGACTGAAGAAAATCACAATTGTTCATTAACATTCAAAATGTGGAAACAAAAGAGAACGATGCAATTCATCAACTAGAGGCAGAATGATGTTTTCTTGTTCTTCAGCTCCTGCTTTGGGTCTATAGGTGTAGTTTTTAGAATGAATCTGTATTTAGCTTTTTAACCCTGTACCATTAATATATCAACTGCAAATAAGATGTCCAACAAATAAAAGGAAATAGTACCTTTCCAATGCAATTCGATACCCAAGGGCAGTGATGATCGAATTGCTCAACACAGCGGTCGCATGTAGAGCAGTGTTTTGAGCGTACAGGCCTGACAATCTATTAATACTAGGCAAATCAGGCCGCTTCAGAAAATGTTAATTCAAGGGAAAACCCCACACAGATTGCTTAATAAAGAAAAACTTACTTTGCATGTTATACATAGTTGAGACCAATTACCATCAAGGAGTTCAGGATTGTCCAAACCCATCTTCAACAAAGGTTCCTAGAGGAGCAAAAACAAAAGATGAACATTACACACTTTGGTCTATGATATTATTTAAATTTTCTGTGAGTGGCAGTTTAAAATGAAACAGGAGATAAAGAAATGAACAGGAAGTCATAGTAGGTTTCTAGATCTTTCAAGCTTACATCATCTCTTTGATTTTGTGAGTCTCTTATATTCTTGCTGATGTAACCAGGATCTTTCCTGCACAAAAACAGTATGGTCACTCCAGAAGAAAAAAAATATGATCAAACCGCATAGCTAAGAGGTGAAAGAAGCAGGGTGTTGGGTGTTGAATATACAGATTTGGAAGGAAAATAGAACACGGAATTAAACAAACTGAAATTTAAGCAACAGACTTTTATAGACGCACAATAAAAATAACGAGAAGCATTAAATAAAGAGTAAAATACATGGATAGTCCATTAACTTGTGAGGGTGTGTCGATTTGGTCCATCAGGTTTGAAAGTGCATTTTTAGGTCCAAAATCTTGATAAGTGGTGCATAAAAAGTCCATACCCCTTTGTTTTATATTTCTATTTTTAGAACCCCCCCCCCCTTCCCCTTTGCACGTGAAGGGTAAGCTTGTGAAAGGAAAATAAATATAGGGGTTTTTCTAAAAATAGAAACATAAAGTGAAGGGGTATGGACTCTTTATGCACCACTGATCAAGATTTTGGACCTAATAATGCATAAGAGTTCCAGTTTCTTATAAAAGCTTTTCTTATAGGCCAATTTGCAAAGCCTTTCTTCATTTCTCTGCTTCTCATATTTTTTCTTTTGTTGCTTGTATCATAATAAGATGTCTACCTGCTGCATCTATAAAACATAACCAGTCCGGCAGTTGCGAGGAGAACTCCCAACCATGAAAATAACCCAAGAAATACAGTCATCTTTGTGTTATAGTCTCCTGCATGGTAGGAATAAACTAAGTGCCACATTATGGAAGATTAAATCGTCTGAACTCTGAAATACATCAAAATAGTATAATACCTAAGATAATTGAATGTATATATACAAAAATTAAGGCTATAATGATACACCAAAGAAGAGGAGCAAGCCCGATTTTTAATAGTTTCCCAAAATAACCATTCCCGACACATCCTCTTTCATGTACTCTTCTAGCATTCCCCTGCATTAAACAGAGCAAATGATCAAGTCAGTCCTTAAGTTTCCCTACTGCAGTATAAGACATTTTGTATTGAGGTCAATAATGGCCACTGTAACTCCCTAATCAAGATAGTCCGGATCAGAAGACATGCAAAAAAGGCTATTAAAAAATTAAAGAAAATTAACAAACCACAAAAGCTGCAGATGAGTACTTTCAGCGCTAATGGATTTGAGAAGAAACAGTTTCCTCTTTTGTTGCTTCCATGTCAATGACAGTATTTATTTTTCTTTGAAAAAAAATAAACCATCTTTTATGTAAAGATAGTAATGTCATCTAATCACCTTTACCATGCTAAATGTACTAATTGTGAAAATTATTTTTTTGATATGTGAGGTAAAGTAGTTATCAAGGAAGAACACATGCAAATCTGCTGCAGCGCAAATAAAAATAATCAGCAGCGGTATGCTTCATGCTATTTAGATTAACAAAGTTTTAAAGATACAAAGCACTACTAGGCTCTCCATCCAACACCAAAACTTTATAGTTGGACTCCAGAATCCAGATATGCTAAACATTTACTTGAAGTATATATTAATAAAAAAATATTAATAATATAAATAATACTTACTAGGAAAAATGCAACTTGTCGATGATTCTTATCAGCAGCAAGTTGGGCTGGAGTCAAGCCAGTATTGTCTTGAACCGTAAGATCCTCCTTTTTGCCAGCTTGAATTAGCACAGTGCAGGACTCCAAATTCCCCCGAATAGCAGTCCAATGTAAAGGAGTACAACCTAAGGAAGCACTTACAATGGAAATGAACAACAAGCTGGTGGGAGAAAAGGCTCTATTGATTGGAGAGATTGTCATTATCTGTATGAAGATATGAAGGGTTTTGAAATAATTCAATGCATACCTTCTTTATCTTGCCGCGCCCTATAAGCACCTAAAAACAAGAGGAGACGTATAGTATCTGCAAATCCCTTATATGCAGCCCTACAAGTGGCATGAATATATATACAGATACGTCAGCAGGAAGTTAGACAATATGTTAAAGAGCAAACTACAAAAGACCACCAGGTTCATATTAAATGTACGGTACGAACCAGTGAAGAGGGCTTCTTCCATCGTTATCAGGGACATCATAATCAGCATTCCATTTTGTAACAATGTGACAAAGAAATGCTGTCTGGCCATACTGTGCGGCAACATGTGTGGTCTGTGATATAACAGTAGATTGATTAAGGAATCATGAGTAAAACTCCAGCCACAGGCTACTTATACAGACTTCACTGAAGCTTTTATTTCATCTACTACAAATAGGCTACTCCCTCCATTCCTATTTCTAGAGCACATAATATGTTATCAATTACTACAAAACCAATGTAGAGCACCTCGTCAATGTCAAATATGGAGAAGACGTGGGCGACGACATGCTATGTTGGTTTTCATGGCCTGGAACGACATGTTCCTCTTGATGGACTCCAGCACGGAGACCAACTCATGGTGATGGTGGGTGTGCGGCGCGCCTCTGGCAGCGCCGGGCATGGCCACGAGCACCATGCCGTCGTGGTTGTGCCGCTGATCATGATGGCCTATGCCGCGGTGGTGGTCCTGCAGGGCATGCATATGGTGGGCGGACGGGGACCCACCGAGCCCACAGCCTACAATAAGATACTGCAGCAGCCAGCAGGTGTCCGTCGCGAGCGTCGCATCATGCATGGGAGGTGGTGGCATCGGGCGAGGGCGGGTGCTGTGGCGGCGAGCAGCCCCAACCATGTCGCGCCGCGGGCCACTTCCTCGGTCGAGTCCGAGAGAGAAGAGAGAGGACATGAAGATGGCATGTGCGCCTCACGTATCAGCATGTTTTATGGGTACAGGTTTAGATCCATTTGGACTAGCTATGAGACCCAAACAGAGTTTAAGGACCAGAATGACACACACCCCCACAAGTTCGAGGACCGGCCATGGACTTTACTCGAATCTATTTATGCGTCTTGAGTAATTGATTGCCAAACTTTACAGTGTTTGACCTTTTTGAATGATAATATACCGTAAATTTTGAAATGGAGACACTAGTATAGTATATTAAGGAGTGAACCTAAAGTAGTGGGGGCACAAGGATTAGAGGTAAATGTTTAGACAAAAAGTGCAATGCATAAGTAAGGTAAATCAGTCATCTCCCAAAATTGCCCTTGTACTAATTACAGTGATATGAATTTTGCCACTCTTCACTTAAATAACTCATCGGATACTTGATAACATGCTTGGTGCTAATGCAAGAATGGCAAAATTTGCAGAGCAGAACAAAAATCCACTGTATATGTACATCTTGGTTATCCCATCCAAACCATCGCTACAGCCAGAAAGAAGTTATAATGTCTAGAGTGATAATAGTGCATTTCTTTATCTGTGTGCAACTAAATAAACTTCATCTATTTTTGTATCAGAGGAAGTGGACCATCAGGAGAAATTATGAAAATATTCTAGAGAAATAAAAGATACAATGATAACGGGAAGTGGCACGGGTGCAATAGAAAAATCAAACTACAAACCTGGTATCCATATAAATCAGCGGCATCCACCTTAGCTCCTTCTTTCAAAAGTAATTCCGCAACTTGAACATGACCACGCACAGCACTCCAGTGAAGTGCTGTTTGGCCTGTGTGGTCTATAGCATTTACATTGGCACCATGCTGTCCAAATTAAAAACTCAGAATCATCATCCACCAAAACCAACCCAAAAGGAAGAAAAAAAAAGCGCAATGCTGTAATGAAGTAAAAACATATGATTAAGGACATAACTACACTTAGCATTTCTAATAATTATGACAGGCCTGTTTAACATCGTGAAGATGACAACTATTTCAACCCAACCAAGCATCCAGGTTCAATTTGAGAATGTCTTATGTCAGCTATGAAGACAGAAAATGCCTTTTGTTTGGAGATAAGATTGAAGGCTCAGCTTTAAACAGTACTGAAGGATATGCAAGAGAAAGCTCATTTTGCCTTCAAATCTAGTGAAACCAAAACCCAAGCTCTTCCATCAGTCCCTATATTGAAACGGACATCATATACACCATCCAACATCTCCCAAACTACAGCAAAGACAGCAAAGCAACAAGCGAAAGTCTCCAAAAGTGCAAATGTCACTATTACAGTTTAAAACAAGTCCACATGATTACACAACATACTATGATCCACGCATAAAACTTACACAGTAAGTCAGTAACTAGTTACAGCAATGGTTCTGCCCAAACCTTACCCACCAGGTCACCAGCCATTGTGCCCACAGGCAGGCTCGAATCTAGAACATACTAAGGATGAAAACTCCCAATGACAACAACTCAGTAAAGCAATGGCTATAAGGTTGAGCTCATCTGCGCAATTCTCATTCGAGCAGGATGCTGGAGGGGCCACAAATACATTAAGATATTACAATGCGCAGGTAGCTTAGCTGCGCATTCCTCAGGCAAATCGTCGCTAGTCACTACCAACAAGTGATCGCCATTATCAACAGAGAAGCTAAGCCCAATAATAGGCAACAGCCTACCGCGTCGTTCGAGGGGGGGGCGCGCGGACCGACCTCGAGAATGTACTGGGCGGCGGCGACGCGGTTGTTGAGCGCGGCCCACTGCAGCGCGTGGTACCCGAGCGCGTCGGGCACCGTGACGGAGCGGCCCTCCCGCTCGACGAGGCGGTGCAGCTTCTCGAGGTCCCCGTACGCCGCGCCCGTGTACACGTCGTCCTTGAGCGCCTCCTCCTCCCCCTCCTGCCCCGCCTCCTCTGCGACGGCCGGTCCCGTGCCGGTGGCGGCGGCGGGGGCGGCGTCCTCGATCTCCGACGACGCCATGGGCCCGGGGGATCGGGCGGCCTCGCGCCCTCGCGGGATTTGGGTCGCGACTCGGGAGGCCACGGAGGTGGCGACTGGCGAGGGGCCTGCACCTGCTAGACGCGGGGCCGCTTTGACTCGTTTTTTTTTTTTTTTTGTTTTTGGTTTTGTTTTTGTTTTCGGCCGGACGGAGGAGAGCTTGGTTGGACTTGACATTTGGACGAGATCACAATAGTCTTTGGGTTGTTTTTTTTTTTTTGAATTTCTTTGGGTTGGTTGTTGGTCACGCATCGCCTTGCCATTGACACGGATAACGAGAAACTGGCTCTGGTCAGTGAAAACAATTTGGCTCTTTTTTTTTAGAAGTAAAAACTTGCTTGCACAAACCCTAAAACACTCTGACCAAAGAACCAAACATAGAGTGTCACGATGCAAAAGAAACAGTGAAGCACATCCTACGTCATGGTGGGGATGACCAACTGAGAATTATATTCATTTTATTTTAAATAATTGGTGGCATTAGAGAAATTCAATCCGGGAAGGAGGTTTGAGAAGATTAGCTGACCACATATACCTTGCTTGAGTGGAAGACAGGCTGTGGAGATCAAAGCTCTGAACTCTTCAGCGCCGGAGGGGAACTGCAGGCCACTAGATCATGGGAGCGGCCTTCACCAGGGACCCTAAAACTGAGGGTCAGTTTGGATGTCAAATTTTTTGGCAAAACGTTACGGTAGCGTTTTCATTGTTATTTGGTAATTAGTGTCCAATCATAGTCTAATTAGCCATAAAAGATTCGTCTCGTGGATTTCGTCTAAACTGTGTAATTAGTTTTATTTTTTATTTATATTTAATGCTTCATGCATGCGTCCAAAGATTCGATGTGACGGGAAATCTTGAAAATTTGGCATTTTGGGGTGCAACTAAACACGGCCTGAATGTTGATGGTTCTTTTAGGGAGGTGGAAGGTGGCCTATGTCAAAGGCGTTAGCGCAGCTGTGGCGCTGGACATTTCCGACGTCATCCTAGAGTCTGATGCAAAGCAAGTGATCACGGCGATACAAGGGGATGAGTTCAAGCTTGCGCTAGTGGGTGGAATTGTCCAAGGGTTGAAGATAGGGCAAGACAAAATACTCGCGGCTCGCCAACTCGCTCGCCTCGTGTTCAGCTTGGCTCGTCTCGTTTTAACTTTTTCACGAGCTAAGCTAGAAGTCTAGCTTGATGTTTTAACGAGCCAACTCGAGCTAGCTCGCAAGCTGCTCACGAGCTCAAACAAGCTGAGACCTATCAGTCCACGACTATGAATCCAGAAGATAATGATGCTGACCTAGAAGTGTACACCTATTCCATTGATATGTAATTCTTATTTTCAGCTGTTTCATACGAATTTTGATTTTATAATTATTGTGGTACATAAATATTGATTTGTGGATTATTTTTCAGGGAGAAGATGATGATGTTGACATTGAATTTGTGGACTTTCCTAAATCTGTGGTGGCAATCAACTAGTAAATATGCTGAAACTGTATGGATCATTGGTTGCATGGCGTTGAAAGTGTCCCACCAATCACTGACAGATCCCAGAAACTAAAAAAACCTAGCTTCTCCTGCTTCCACTAAAGTTGGAGCCATAGAAGCTCTACCAAACGGAGTCTTCATGGCTCCGAGCAGCTCCTACCCCCACCTGTAAAAGTATGCAAAACAAGCCAAAACTCTCTCTCCTCCCTCGACCTCCCACAGAGCTAGGCCCTACATAGGACTATCAACAAGTAAATCCGTAAAAGGCCAGTAGAACAAATTTGGTCATCGGCTGACTTCAAAAACGGGTTTCTATTTTTTAATAATAATAAAAATCCGATTCAATCTATAGAAGTTCGTAATTGAGCTAGGCCCTACATAGGACCTCCCACAGAGCTAGGCCCTACACGTCTAGCAAAGACAGTAGAAGGTGAGGGGTGATGGAGCCAAGAAGAACTTAACAGTGCCAAGGGCACATTTCGCGAACTAAGCGTACCTCTATTTGTATATATTGCGGTGTAATGTAACATGTCTATTGAGAAGTTATCTGGTTGGCGTGGTGCTCGTAACGTTTTGAATTTAACAATGTTATTTTTTTAGAGATACACGACATATACATTGATGAAGCATCTGTTGTCACGTTCGCTTGGCTTATAAGCTATATTTTTTCAATCAACAAACATTATTTTTTTCTTACAACAAATCAACCAACAATACTTTTAATCCATGACTTATCAACCAAACCAACATGACATATGATTTCGAATCTAGCATGCCGAAAGGTGTTAATAAAGATAGATGAATGCGTGTTTTTATTGGATGCCTTTATAATATATTTCAAGAAAAAGGATACATTCCATTACCCCGAGGATGACGTGGTGGATCCATTGCGTGAGTACAAACTTTCCCTAAATTAGCACTCGCTCCATCGTCACAAAATAATGTAACTATAGGATGCTTGCGAGTCAAACTAGTTCAACTTTGACTGAGTTTATTGTAGATAATATTAATATTTATATCTCTAACCAAGTTTATTATAAAAATATTTTTTTAATCCACTAATGGTACTTATTTTGTATTATAATTGTTAGTAGATTTTTATATAATTTTGGTCAAACTTCAAATCATTTGACTCATCAAAAATAATAATTGTATTCTTTTACGGATGGAGGGAGTTTTTTTAAGGGTACAATACATTTTTCAACCTCCAACTCGCATTAAAGTTTGATTTTCAACCTTCAACTATGAAATTGGGTAGCAGACACCCTCCAACTGTCAAAACCAGGACAAATTTGGTCATCGGCTGACTTCAAAAACGGGTTTCTATTTTCTAATAATAATAAAAATCCGATTCAATCTATAGAAGTTCGTAATTAATTTATTTTAAATTATAAAAATATGAAACTAGTAAATGTTTGCTTCTAAAAATGTTATATATATGTGGATGCTACATTTAAAATTGCTTAGACCTTACTTGTTTTAAATAAATAACAAGCGTGACAACGAGCAATAAAGCAGTAGGAACATAAATAAACCAATTCCAAATACCTATATATAGACCATAAACAAGCAGACAACATTTTTAGAAAAAAGATAGTAGTTTCATATTTTTCTGATCTAAAATAAATGCCGATGGGGATAGTAATACTACTGTATACATTAATACAAGGTTTGGCGCTCACGGCCCGCCTCTCGAGTTGTTTTTGGCCAAAAGCAAGGCGGTGCGCGCGGAGACGAAGGCTGCGAACGAACTGTCATGTAAAAGAATAGAAAACGAACAATTTAATTCCGTGCGAAATTAAATTCCGCGTGAAATTTAATTCCATACGAAATTAAAAATAATTTTAAATATAGCATCAACATATATATAACATCTTTAGAAGAAAACATGAAGTAGTTTCATATTTTTATAATTTAAAATAAATTAATTATGAACTTCTAGAGATTAAATCGGATTTTTATTATATTATTATAGAAAATAGAAAATCGCTTTTAAAACCAGTCGAGGACCAAATTTGTCCGGTTTTGACAGTTGGGGGTGTCTGTTACCCGGTTTCATAGTTGAAGGTTGAAAATAGAATTTCAATGGGAGTTTGATGTTGAAAAATGTACTTTACCTTTTTTAAATAAAAAAGTCTTAAAAAGAAATTATTTTATGGGCCTCCACCTCAGCGTGTCGGGCCGTCGTTGGCCCAATCCTACAACGGACCCAAAACATCGGCCGGAACCGCATACGCCATCTCTCCTCTCGTTGCTAAAATAAAACGCTATCTCTCCTCTCTCCTCTGCTGGTCGCCCTCCCCGTCGCGCTTTCTCCTCGTGTGGCTACTGGGTGACCGCCGCCACTGCCGCCCTACACCGGGTTCCCAGGTCTTCGTCGAGTCATTCGCGGCGACGAGCACCCACCAGGTACCGGCACCCGTTCTCTTCCCTTCCTGCTATGCGGAACCAAGCACCCGAACCCTAACTTAACCTGTTTGTATTCGGATCTGATCTGAGTACGAGTTTATACGTGCCCAGTGTATACATGCATACTAACTTCGATTTTTATGCAATTGTTTGGGTTGTACATGAGTACACTCATGTCCTTTTACTTGGTCCGCCCCTGACCGTAGCTTCTACCGTAGATCTCGCTTTAGCTGCGAAAGTTCCAAATTTCTGCCATCTTTTTTCTGTTTTTTCTATTGTCCGTGTACTGAATTTCTGCCTTGTTGTAGAAATCCTAGCTGCTTTGAGATGGAGGTGCTATTTGGAAGCAACAACCATGGCGGAGACAAGGCCGCTGATTTGGCCACGCTTATAATTGCCCAGGCTGCCTTGAAGGTGCCAAGGTTACTTGGGCTCCTTGCCATGGTAAAAGTTTCTTCTTTTCTCACGCCTTACAAGAAATCTTGTTAAACTGTTACAGTAAATCTCTGTGCAGTAGCTGTGTTCTTGTATTCTGTAAGGTCAGTAGATCTTGATATGTGAGGGGCATTTTTTTTCCATGCGGGGGTTTGTGTGTGTGTGCGACGTGGTTATGAAGTTGGAGCGTATGATATTCTTGCGAACGGCCCTATAGCTAGGTTGGTTAGGTGACTGTAGTAGCACTCCTCATGTCCTAGGTTCGACTCCCCATGGGAGCGAATTTCAGTCCGGGGTTAAAAAAAATCCCTTCATATGTCCCACACCAAAGCATAGGTATGAGATCCGGCCCAGGTTGTTTGTTTCTCACATGGGCTACGGTTCCATCGTGTACATGTCGGGTAGGGGTTCGGTGGTTTTCTCGGCCTGCATGAGAAAGTCTTCTTCTTATCAAAATGCTTAGGGCTGTCTTATCCCCCGCCCCCGCAGGTTGAGTTTTTTTTATTATGTATGATTATTCCCTGGTTGTGCTAGGGAATCTGGTATCTTTTGTATGCCCGCGCCATCAATGCAGCACGGACATGGATACTTGTACTGCTATGGCATTTTTCCAAACAAAACTGATATGAGGCAGCTGCCAGAGGATGTAGGAGGCCTAGGGCCTAGACATGGCCTCTGCGAAGCAACTGACCCCATGCCATGGCCGACGCTTGTGGTAGCAACTGAGCTGGGCCCCCACTATGGTCGTCTTGCGCCATGGCATGCCTAGCAGAAGCACAACTATTACCCCCCACACACACACACACACACACTCTGCAGTACCATGATGTGTCGTTACTCGGTCACGAGGATCTTGCCGGCCTTGCCTCCACAGGAACTGCAGTGGGGTGGAGGACCTCGCCGCTGCCTTCACTCGGCCATGGAGGAGCTCTCACGTGCTGGTGTAGGGAGTGTTGTGGTGGCTGTGGCCTGTGTAGGGTTATGGGAGAAGGGAGGCAGCAGGCGTGGGGAGTCTGGGAGTTATTCAACAAGCTGTTGGTGGGCTGGGACGTATCGGACCGGCGTATCAGACGAGCCCAACATATCAGTAAAGAGTATCCGAATTCTCGTTGATTTATTTTTTACAGATACGTTGTGGATACGTATCCACTGTGTATCCATATCGGATATGTACCAATACAGGATACGGCCCTATCCTGGCATATTGGGGTAATGTAGCGCACCATCACAAAATAAACTGATGCAAGCCATGAGTTCGTGTGTTGCTTGGATAACAGACTATGTTTTAGGGTTACTCAGGTTAGAGATGAATCTGTACTATTTTGATGTGCCCCTGAGGTATAAATAACCACTGAGCCTCTTTTGCCTTAAGTTCAATAAAAAGCAGGGTTGTCGGAGGTCTTTGGTAGTTTGGTCTAAAAATGCAATGTGTTTTCTTGCCCAAAGACCTTGATGTTTACGACTTACCTAGTGGTGTTTGTATCAAGCCAAGTAATATGATGTCTTTGAATATCTTTCGTGCTAATGATGGAATTGCAAAGGATCTACCATTTATTTTCTTCCTCAGATGTGTCTTATGTCCTACAAAGCCCATGAAAAACCATTGAGCTAGTCTTGGAGATTTGCAAGTCATGTACCTAACTTCACTTTTCTGATGTTAACAGACATTGGGTGACCTGCTTCTCTGTTTGTTGCTGATATTTTGGCCAAGCTTTTGAGATCTGTACTATCTGTGTTTTAGTTGTTCGGTACTATAGTTGTTTCCATCGTCCAAATGACTGCATTAGTATGTAGCCCAGTCGTTATTTGGAAAGGAGAGGCCATACATGCTTTGAGATCAGTTTTGTTACAATAAATATTAGTAGCAGTATTAATTTGCTTGAGGGATTTTACTAAAAAGGAAAGTGGTTGCAATTGGTGCCTTTACTGACTTCGAAATTTGTTGACTGTTCGGCATTAAGATGTTATTTATGTCTTTTCCATTCCAAAGAAAACATCTTGCATTGTTCGTGCATTTTAAATTGGGAATATACCTCGTTTTAGCTAATACTTTGTGTACTGTTTTGATTTTGTTGTCCAGATTCTGCATAATGAAATCTTTACATCTGGTGGAGATCAGAATTTGATTAATAGGTACCATCTGGTGCATAATGCCAAAACATGTAGCACATTATTATTGCCATGGTCATTTCTTCTTGTCTTCCAAAGCTGAGGATTGTTTGTCTCTTTTTCCCCAAGGATTCTGAGCAAAAGCAAAAATGAAACTGATCCTGAGAACAAAGATGATGGAGAATCTGATGATGATAATGATGATGAGGGAGATGATGCTGATGCTGAAAACCAAGAAGAAGATGATGGTGGTGACGAGGGATCAGATGACAATGGGAATGAGGAAGATGACGATGATGATGATGATGACGATCCTGAAGCCAATGGTGAAGGAGGAAGCGATGATGATGATGATGGTGGTGGAGAGGATGAAGAGGATGAAGAGGATGATGACGACGACGATGATGGGGACGGTGACAATGACGAAGATGAGGAGGAGGAAGAAGAGGAAGAGGATGATGACGATGACGTCCCCCAACCACCTACTAAGAAGAGGAAATGATCGATGGCTGCGAGTGGTTGCTTACATGCAGGAAAGCTGCCTGTTCGCCCCTGCGCAGCAGTCTACTGTTTAGTGGGTAGGGTTTTTAGCTTGGTCGTGGACAATTCATAGCCTAGATTGGAAACAAAAAAGAAACATTTAATTGTGCATGTACTATTAAACCATTCCTTTAATCATGTATCTCATATTGCTATCTACCCTACTCCGAATGGTTTCTAAATTGTTTGCTTCAGTTTTGTATTACAATTTGACAATGTTCTTGTCCAACCTGATGGTTGAGGCATGTTATGCCTGGTTGCAAGGACAGAGCAGAATCTTCCAAAGTATTCCGGGTTGATGTGAGGATCGGTCCTTCGGAGAGAACTTTTATTGTGTTTTCTTTCTTTATTAATCCATGGCTTTGCGTTTTTTTCATGCTTTCACTATATGACAAGGTTTTCAGCGTGCCAGGCATGGCCGCACGAGAGGCTAAAAAACTGCGTGTTTGAAGTTCCGCATAATCAGTGTCACCTAAGAGCATCTTCAAAAATCTTTCTAAAATGTACTTTCTAAATCATTATTTGAAAAATTATTTGAGCAAAAAATATTTTCTATATCTCTGTACGCTTCAACAGTTTTCTATATCTTAATGCGAATTTTAGAGTCATCCTCGCTCTTATCTTTAGCGTGCGAGGAAACTAAAATAAGGAGGCTGATGGAAAGTATTTTTTCACCAAAGTCTCTTCTTAAAAATTAGGAAAGATATAAAGAACCTCTTGGAGTTGCTCTAAATGGTTGTCAGTAAACCAAACTTTGTCAAAAGACTACTCTTGCTATCGCATTTAAACAACAGTTTCGAAGAACATCACTTCCTTTTTGCTTGCATATTGTTTTGAAACAGCAGTTCCAAAAAACATCACTTCCATTTTGCATGCATAACGTTTTGAAAAGAGAACAAAAATTCAAGCAAAGACCATGTTAATTACTGTCAAGAAGGAAAAAATGCTGAGATTAATCATCATCATCAAAATCATCACCATATCTCTAGAAACTGTTAAAGTTTTCCAGTGCTTCAATGTCTGGCTGGGGCTGATTACTTATATGAAAATGAACTCAGTTGCTCGAAGGCTGGAGGGGAATTTATGGGATCAAAACATGGTCGGACCCTGGAACTAAAAACTCCAAGAAAACGGAAACAAAAAAACACAACGGGGCTCATCAACTGGAGGAGCAAAGCACATGCCATAGATGCTGTATAGCTGACATACTGCTCTACTCCCCTTGCAAAACTACGGCCTTTATCCTGCGACTCTTGCTGGCTTAGAGCCATTTGAAGAGAATGCCACCATGGGCGGCGAAGAAGGGGGCGAAGACAAGGGATTCAACCGCCATTAGCTTGATGAGGATGTTGAGGGAGGGGCCAGACGTATCCTTGAGAGGATCTCCAATGGTATCACCAATGACAGCCGCCTTGTGAGGGTCAGAACCTTTTGGGCCAAGGGTCCTGGCATGCTCTGAAGCTCCAGCCTGAGCAAACCAAAGATCAAAATGTTATATAAATAAAGGCGTTTTTTCCTTCAAAAATAGCTTTTTAGAGAAGGTGTCATGCAAGTTCAGGCAGGGGAAAAAAGGGCCCAGTAAAGTCTGCGTGTAACTTTACCTCAATGTACTTCTTGGCATTGTCCCAGGCACCACCAGTGTTGGATGCAGAAATGGCAATCTGAAAATGGTGAAATGGACTAAGGAAAAACTCAGATGCAACTATCATACTGAAATTTGAGAGGAACTCCCACCAACCTGAACACCAGAGACAAGGGCACCAGCAAGGACTCCAGAGAGGGTCTCAACCCCAAACAAAATCCCAACGATCAGTGGTGTGAGCATAACAAGAGCACCTGGGGGGATCATCTCCTTGATGGATGCATCCGTTGAGATCTTGACACAAGTTGCATAGTCAGGCTTTGTGGTGCCCTCCATGAGCCCAGGGATGGTGTTGAACTGCCGTCGGACTTCCTCCACCATCTTGAGTGCAGCACTGCCTACACTCTTCATGGTCATTGCCGAGAACCAGTATGGGAGCATAGCACCGACAATAAGCCCGATGAATACTTTAGGAGTCAGAACATCAACAGTGGAGATAGCAGCCCGGCTTACAAAGGCACCGAAGAGTGCAAGGGACACCAAGGCTGCGGAGCCAATGGCAAAACCCTGCAAATACAAAACCATGAGAGAACTTTTCTAGCAAAACCAATTGCATTGAAGGTGATATAAAATGATCTAAATAGAAAATATTAAAGTTTCTAGGGTGTCCAAGCTCTTAAGTGAAAGCACATGCAAAATTTCAACTATGTATGGACCCTAACTGGCATTTGCCAATGGAAAAAACAGGAAAACTGAAAAATCTTTAGTTTGCTGTGCAATCACATGAAACTCTGATAAGACAAGCACATGTCTACCTTTCCAATTGCAGCAGTGGTGTTTCCTGCTGAATCTAGAGCATCAGTTCTCTCCCGAATCCTATGGTTCATCCCAGCCATTTCAGCTATTCCTCCAGCATTATCACTGATAGGGCCATAGGCATCAATAGCAAGGCCTGTGGCAATGGTACTTAGCATTCCAAGAGCAGCCACAGCAACACCATACATGGCAGCAAGGCTGAAGCTGAGGAAGATACTAAACGCAATAGCAAAAATTGGGATAATGACTGATTTGTAACCCAAAGCAAGCCCAAAAATGACATTAGTGGCAGCTCCAGTTCTGCAGGAATCAGCAACATCTTGTACAGGACTGGAAACACAAAACAACAAATACGTCATACATTGGAAGCAAACAAGAAATGCTACCATCATAATCACTGGCAAGAAAAGATTCTAGATACCTGTAGGCATTGCTTGTGTAGTACTCAGTAACAAAACCAATGACTAGGCCAGCCCAGAGACCAACGGCCACACACAAGAACAATTGCCTGATAAATTTAAATTAGAATGAGATTAAAATATAAATTACTTAGTAACAAAACCAACAATTAGCCAGCACAAAGACCAACTGCAACACATAAGAACAGTTGCCTGATAAATTTAACGCAAAGAAAGATTGTAATATGAACTTTATACTAAAAACTTCAATGGCCAATCAAAAAAATTTCATACCAGCTTTGCACTGTCTTCTGGGCTCCAAAGTTATAAATGGTGAATGTGTATGGAAGACCAAGCCAACTGATGAGCGCAATGCCAATAGTCATCACAACAGTGGATATTATAAGTTGTTTCTTGAGAGCAGGCTCTATTTCATTCACAACCTTTATCTCGAAGAAATCAGTTGCAAACAGCGTTGTTATGAGACATGCTATAATACCAACAGAGCTGACAAGAAGGGGGTACACCATCGGAGTAAATTCATGGTTGATTCCAAAAGACGAGATCGAGGCCACAACAAGAGCAGCACATGACGATTCAGCATATGAGCCAAAGAGATCTGATCCCATTCCAGCAATATCTCCAA